CTGTCACGGAGTGACTGAGACGTGAGACGTGCAGATCCAAGTGCGAAGCTTTATTAACCGACATGGTCAGAAACAGGCAAGGGTCAGACAATGGCAACAGGTATATAGAGGGCAAGACACAAGAATAAACCTAGGGCTAGTGTGGGTCTACGATCGGCGAACAGAATCAACAGGGCGAGACTAGAGAGATAAATCCAGGTACAAGGCAAAGGTCCAGGCAGGGGCAAACAGTATTCGAAAAGGGCAAGACGAGAGGGGGAATCCGAGATACACGCAAAGATCAGGACACGAGAAAACAGACAAGGCAAGACTAAGATAAGGCTATGGAAAAACTAGACAGGCTCCATAGAGTAGCTATCGCTATGAGAGTGATAAACGCTATACAATACTCTGCAGTTTGAAAGGGGAGAGAGTGTGTTATATAGTGAATGTGTGATTGGTTACAGCTGTGTGCAATCAGTGCAATGGATGATGGGATATGTAGTCCGACATGCAACAGTTTGTGTAGTGCGAGAGTCAGTGTAATGGAAGGGTGACCTCTGGTGGTGAGTGAATTGAAGTTCATAGACCGGATTCGTGACAGAAATAATAAACATATTTAAACAAAAAAACTAATAAAAATGACAAAAACACTTGAATGTAAACTTGAATATAAAATTACAATTATAAATAACTAAAATTAAAATGAAAACAACATATAAAAATGAAAACCAATTCAAAACATTAATAAAAACAGTACAACTCGTATCTCAGTGATACCAAGATAACACTGGAATGGAGTGATGGTTATTACAGTTTGTGAAAGATTACACATTTTCATGACGTTTTTATTGGTTTAATAAATAATTTCAGAATATGATCTTGTATGTAGAAAGTAGAATTCACTGCTGTTATTCCCAACAGGACTCCAGCTCTTCTTCATCATCCGACAGCAGCTCCTCATCCTCCTCAGACTCAGACAGCGACGATGACAAGAAGAAGAAGAAGAAGAAGAAGAAGAAGAAGAAGAAGAAAGTAATGATAGAAATGAGCTACCTGGCCTGAAACCTAAATGAATGTGTTTGTGGATTCATTCTTGTCTGTGATTATTCTGCAACAATTAAGATGTCATTTGCTAAGAAAATGAATGTAAATGCAGATTAATCTCTCAATCCTCAGGATTCATCATCATCATCATCATCTTCATCTGACAGTGACGATGACAAGAAGAAGAAGAAGAAGAAGAAGAAGAAAAAGCAGAAGAAGAAGAAGAAGAAAGTGAAGGTCAGATTCACTTATGTACACTGGGGAAAAAAATTGATGTAGAAACATTTTTCACAAATTGCTGGTAGATTTCACAAAGCAATTCCATAACATATAAAATTTTGAATTAAAAACGAATAGTATTTTCTTGTAAAACATATTCCAATCATCTTTGTTTTGGCTGCAACTTTGAAAAAGCATTGTTAGTGTAGTTTCACTGTAATTTCACAGCTGCATGTGAAAAAGTTAGTTTTGTCATTAACAGTTTATTTATTTATTTGCTTATTTCATTCATTCATTTTTATTATTTCCGTTTGTTTTGCTCACATTTCATACAATTTCCCAGCAGCACTCCGAAGTACAAGCCTTTTCTTTTCTTGTTTCTTAAGGATTCATCTTCATCATCAAATAGCTCTTCATCATCATCATCTGACAGTGAGGATGACAAGAAGAAGAAGAAGAAGAAGAAGAAGAAAAAGAAGAAGAAGAAGGTAAAGGTCAGAATGATTCCCATACTTAAATGTAATACAGTATATGTACATATATGAAATTTCCATATGTGAAATATAATGTCATATGAGGTAAAAACGTGTATGAAACCTATTAGAAAGTGGAACTTCATATATTTACATGCATATATATCTAGCCCAAACAAATATGCATGTTTGTGTAAGTGTCATACTTGTTTTGGACATATATGTCATGTACATGTACAGTATATCCATCCAGAAACCCATCAATATCTGTTGATAAATATAAAAGATAGACGTGTTTTAAAAAATGTATTACAAAAACATATATATAAACATACAGATTTTTGTATATATGATGTTTTAATAAAGTTAAATTAAATATATAATTAAAATATATATTGTTGGTTGCTACATATAAAATATCATCATATAGATATTATTAACATATGCACATATACAAATTTAGCAAAATATTTGCTATTTTATATATGTTATAAACTTATATCTTCATCTACCCAGAGAATGTATGCATGTGGAAATTATATATTGCCTTATAGGTGGCATATATGCCAATATCACTCTTAATACATTCAATATACAGTATGTCATATATTACATTTCTGTATGGGTTTATGAAGATTTACCGTGATTTCACTGAATAACTGCTCTGCTCTCTTTTCTCAAAGGATTCGTCTTCTTCATCATCAAGTAGCTCCTCGTCTTCTTCTGACAGCGATGATAAGAAGAAGAAGAAAAAGAAAAAGAAGAAGAAGAAGAAGCATAAGAAAAAGGTAAAATCTCTCACTTTATTAAATATTCACACTGAGTTCATGAGAAATGCATGAATCCAGAACGTATTCGACCTTTTGACCTCCATCCTCAGGAGTCCAGCTCCTCTTCCTCATCCTCATCCTCCGACAGCGACGAGAAGAAGAAGAAGAAGAAAAGTGAGAAAGACAAGAAGCACAAGAAAAAGAAGAAAGACAAGAAGAAGAAAGATGAGAAGAGTAAAAAGGTGATGTTCAGTTTCCTCCATTCAAACCTGCAATCCTGGTTTAACAGCTGGTTAACCTGCATTGCTGCTGGTTAGTGAAGAGCTGGCTTTCTAAAGCAAGTCATTACGAACGAAGCGATTGTACCAGTGTTGTTTTAGGGTCATTGAGATGCTTCTATGGTTGTTATTACACAAAATTGACCCTTATGACTGGTTTTGTGCTCCAGGGTCACATATAATTAAATTCAGGATTTAAAAATGTTGGTCTGAATATTCTGCTTCTCATCTTCTGTCTCATCCAGAGTGTTTTGAATTTGGGTTTTATTTTTATAAAGCGATTGTACCAGTGTTGTTTTAGGGTCATTGAGATGCTTCTATGGTTGTTATTAATATTTTGAATTAGTTTTTATATTTGTATTTTCATTTTAATTTTAAAGTTTTTGCATTTTTATTAGTTTTTTTTTAATGTCTGTATAATTTCTTATATAATTCCTATATATTCTTATTTGTGAGCCTGGAGCACAAAAGCAGTCTTAAGTCGCTGGGGTATTCTGTCTCATCCAGAGTGTTTTGAATTTGGGTTTTATTTTTATATTTTCAGTTTTCAATTTAATTTTAAATTTTAATTAATAATTTTTTTTTATTTTTTAGTTTCTTAGTTTTTTTTTGTGTCCACAAGTTTATCATATGTATGTATATGTATTTATTTATTACAAACTTTTTAAAATGTATGTGAATTTTAAACTCTTCTCATCCAGAGATGTTCTGAATCTGATGGTGCGAGATATATTTTATCTATTGTATTTTATATTTTGTCTTTTTTCTGATGATCGTGTCTTTCGTCTGAATTCCAGGACTCAGGAAAGTCTTCAGGATCAGAAAACGATGATGGCAAGCATGTATGAACTAATCCAAAACTTGCTTATTTTAATCTAACCCCCCACCCCCCCACCGAAATAGTTCCGAAATATTTTGATGGGATTATTTTCTCTGAAATATTGAGGAAATTCAGTTATCCTTACTGACGTCTACAGTGGCTTATATCACACTAACAGATGAGTTTGTTCATTAACCTGAGATGTTTGTATATTTCTCTCACAGCGGTTAAACTGAACCTCTCTTATTCTTATATTCCTCTTCAGAAGAAAGCAAAAACAGATGATAAGGATGGAGAAAACACCTCGCTGAAGACTGAAGGAGAGTCAGGGGGTTTCGGCACGACCGATTACAGTTTTAGAACTGATGGCTCTCAGATTTCTTCATCTCTACTTTACTCCCACCTGCCTTCTGAAACCCTGAGCCGAGCGGAGAGCAGCAGCGCCTCCCGCAGGCCTCTGACCGCCATAGAGAGCCTGATGGGTCATCCTCAGAGAAACACACTGGACAGGGACAGAGTCACGACCAGCAGATACACCTCACATTCCACACCTTAAGAAACACTTACACAAATGATTTTTTGGATTAGAGTGCTGCAGGGATGACTTACTTTTGTAGGCTGAAACGGGTTCCCTTGACAAAAACGCAATAGAAAATATTGCAGAAAATAAGCTCTGTGACCAACTAGAGTTTATGATTCTTACATGAAAACCTTTACAGATGAACAAGTTTTATGAATTTTAAAGCTTAATTACAACTAAACGTTGGCTATAAATTAACTACAACATCAACGCCGTCACCATTAAGCTTCTGACAACTCTTTCAGTCTTTATTTTAAAATATTTTCCCTGAAAGTTTGAGTGAGAATAGTTTGCAAGAGCACGATTATAAACTGTAAAGTCATGAAAGCTTGTTTCAACCACGGAATAAAAAAACATAAAGGTAATTGCAACTTTTGTGCAATCTCACAATTCTGAGTTTTTTCTCTCAATACTAAGAGGTCAGAATTGGGACATATGAACTCAGAATTGCAATAATAAAAAATTCAGAAATGTGAGAAAAATGTCAGAGTTGCAAGATAATTCTGCAAGAAGAAAATCAGAATTGCGAAGGGAAAAATCTGAATTGAGAGAAAAATTTGAGTTGAGAGATAAAAAATTTTGCGAAATAGTCAGAATTGTGACATAAAAAAAGTCAGAATTGTGAGATAAAAACTCAAAATTGCGAGAAAATGTCAGAATTGCAAGAAAAAGTCAGAACTGAGAGAAAACTAAGAATTTTGAGAAATAGTCGGAATTGAGAGAAAAATGTCAGAATTGCGAAGATAAATGTCAGAATTGCGAAGAAAAATGTCAGAATTGCGAGGAAAAATGTCAGAATTGCGAGGAAAAATGTCAGAATTGCGAGAAAAAAGTCTGAATTGCGAGAAAAATGTCAGAATTGCGAGAAAAAAGTCAGAATTGTGAGAAAAAAATCTGAATTGTAAGAAAAAATTCTGAATTGTGAGAAAAAATTCTGAATTGTGAGAAAAATGTCAGAATTGAGAGAAAATTTTTAATTGCGAGATAATAACTAAGAATTTTGCTAAATTGTCAGAATTGTGACATAAAATAAAAATAGTCAGAATTGCGAGATAAAAACTCAAAATTGTGAGAAAAATTTCAGAATTGCAAGAAAAAGTCAGATTTGAGAGAAAAAAATCTGAATTGAGATAACTAAGAATTTTGAGAAATTGTCAGAATTGAGAGAAAAAAGTCAGAATTACAAGAAAAAAAATCAGAAGTGATGAATACCCTCCAAAATAGCAATAGCAAAAATATGTGTTTGAAAATCATTAAATATATATATTTAATGTATTTAATAATATATATATATCCTCCTAAATATACATGTTTATGAGGTTGGTTGCATATTAATTTAACCCTATAAAGCCTTTAACCCTATAAAATGTTTATTTGTACTTTTTATGTAAAGGTCAATAAAATGTTTCATTTCAAATACTGGAATCAATCTTTTAGATATCAGGCTTTATAGGGTTAATTTTAGTTGCTTTTTTTTCTGCAGTCATTTTACTTTTTCCTGCAATTTTTACTTGAATAAGACTCAATATTTTAAACCTTAGATATTTTTTGTATTACATGTTTTATTAATCATTTAACCCACATTAGTTTTTATTGTTGTTTACTTAATAATCACTGCAATTATCAATCATTCATGTTTTTATGCCAATGCAGTTCATCTGAAAATGATTCACAGGAGTGTCTTTATGTGCTGGAATAATCAGTAGCTGAGAGCGTTTATGGAGCAAATGACGTGCATGAAAACCACACCTAGATACTTTCCTGAAGCGCCTCGGGCAGGGGCTGTTTTTAGAGAAGTTCATTTACTTCCTCTCAGGGAGATCTTTCTGGAGGATTCTGGAAACACAAAATGACACTAAAATATCTTCCAATAAATAAAATCAGGGGTATGTGTGTTTATTTCAGCAGGGTCCACTTGTCTTATTGAACATTTAAGCATTTGGCAGACACTTTTATCCACAGTGACTTACAATGCATTCATTTTATAAACTCAATATTTATCACATTAATCACACATAAGTACATGAAACTGAAACAGCTAACGATCATTTATAATGTTAAATGAGTAGTTCCAGTATGTTTCACTGGAGAAATCAATATTATGGATAGAGGACCTGTAATTTAGCTGGAAGCAATGGTTTGAAGTTAAAAAAGCTCCTCAGTGGATGCTCTGCAGTGAATGGGTGCCGTCAGAATGAGAGTCCAAACAGCTGATAAAAACATCACAATAATCCACAAGTAATCCACAGCACTCCAGTCCATCAGTGAACATCTGGAGAAGACAAAAGCTGAAACAAATCCAGCATTAAGACGTTTTTAACTTCAAACCGTTGCTTATGACTAAAATATGAGTCCAGTTACATGAATAAACTAATGCAAAATAGCATTGCATAGTCTTCACTGTACAAATTAAATTTAGACTAATCCTTGTTAAAACTACAAAGGAGCAGTGAGTCATTTTCTCTCTCTCTCTCTCTCTCTCTTTTTCTTCTTCTTGGATTAACATTAAGGACACCGTCAGCAGCTAGTAAATTAGGCGCGGTCCCTTTAAGACACACTTCATGGATCCAATATAATGATAAACATCTTTCTCAACTATTTATGTTCACTTAAAACATAACCGATATTTTTCGAGGATACTCACCAAGACGGGTATTTTGACTTAATTTAGTATGTATTTGCCCATTAAAGCACAAGATGACACAAAAAAGAACTCAGTTCAGTACTGGCGTGCTGTTTTTGTGTGCATACTGTGCACAGAGAGCCTCGTCTCTGACAACAACCGGAGCTTGCTCATGAACGGACAAATACGTCTTAGCAATTTGAACGTTCAAGTGATAATCCACAGCACTCCAGTCCATCAGTGAACATCTGGAGAAGACAAAAGCTGAAACAAACCCATCATTAAGACGTTTTTAACTTCAAACTGTTGCTTATGACTAAAATATGAGTCCAGTTACATGAATAAACTAATGTAAAATAGCATTGCATAGTCTTCACTGTACAAATTAAATTTAGACTAATCCTTGTTAAAAATACAAAGGAGCAGTGAGTCATTTTCTCTCTCTCTTTTTCTTCTTCTTGGATTAACATTAAAGACACAGACAGCCGCTAGTAAATTAGGCGCGGTCGCTTTAAGACACACTTCATGGATCCAATATAATGATAAACATCTTTCTCAACTATTTATGTTCACTTAAAACATAACCGATATTTTTCGAGGATACTCACCAAGACGGGTATTTTGACTTAATTTAGTATGTATTTGCCCATTAAAGCACAAGATGACACAAAAAAGAACTCAGTTCAGTACTGGCGTGCTGTTTTTGTGTGCATACTGTGCACAGAGAGCCTCGTCTCTGACAACAACCGGAGCTTGCTCATGAACGGACAAATACGTCTTAGCAATTTGAACATTCAAGTGATTTAATCCTTTCAAGACTGAGCAACAAGATGAAATAATTTAATTCAGTGCTCACATGCTGTGTTCTGAATTAAGTTCTTTCACTGCCTCTTGAGCTTGAATGCTTTAAAATCGCTTAAATGTTTAAACGAGCAAGGTTTAAAAACAAATGCAAATGACGCGCTGTCTTTCACGCTGACCACGGTTCCCGTTACAGCCGTGGGCCCCTATCTGATGAAGAAACAAACTCATCTACTTCTTGGATGAACATTGTCCACAAATTTTCATTTTTGGGTGAACTGTTCCTTTAAAGGCTGCATCTACACTAGATAAATCACTGTACCAACACAACTCTGGGAACCACAGCCTGTAGTGAGTCACAGATCAAGAATGATCAGAGATACACCTGCGTTTGGGCAAAAACGGCTCATCATTTTGAGCGTTTTAACAAAAGCATTGTACTAAAGCAGGACCACCCATATGAGACACACCCAAAAAACTCTCCAAACTGACGTGAGAAGACCAGACTGAGCTGGTGAGGGAAGTGGTTAAACATAAACTGGTTTTGTTGGTTAATCCTGTTTGTGTCAAAGCCTATTTTAATTCTAAAAAAAAGTATTTAGGTCATTGTTCACATTAACATTAGTGCTAGTTATAGTTTGGAAAATTTTTGTCAATACTAAGTTTGTGTGTGTGTGTGTGTGTGTGTGTGTGTGTGTGTGTGTGTGTGTGTGTGCATTTTTTTTAATTGCATTTATGTATTTATTTGTTTGTTTGTT